TCTTTTGTCGCTCAGAATATCCCCGAGCCCAAAAATAAAGTAATGATATTACCCAATGACTAGTAAAGTATAGTGCACATTTTCAGCGCGCCCGTAAAACTTGCAGCAAAGCGAGCACGTTGGCCTTCGATCCCGGAGCGCGATCCCGTCCGCCGGCGTCAGCGCCCATTCCCTCCGCCGGCCGCTCGTTGCGGCATCCGTCAGCGGCCGCGTCGCAGCCGCCATGGCGCGCGGATTCGGACAACGAGCGCCGTTCTTCCCGCCAAAATATCCTTCCCGCATGAAACACGCTTCGCCTAATATCCGCCGGCGGACTATTACGAAACATAAATATCCGAGCCAGATGGTTGGCAAATTAGGAGTAAGAAAACCATTGCAAGCTGGAAAAATAATATCGCGGAAAGTGGCGGCGGCGAGAGTAACGAGGCGTTCGTGTAGCGTGTGGTTATCACGGGCGTTCGTGTAGCGGCCGGATTCTCGCAGGCGGTTGGCTCTCTCGCCATCTTTATTTTCACGCTCAGTTTTCCACCGCGGATCTCGATTTTCTGCCTACGAGATGGCGGTACTCTAACTTGTCGTTTGTAATAGCCATAATGATAATGAGGTCGATAATCATGGGTATCGGTAGTAGTTATCCTAATGGTATTATTATCACTAGCGGTAGAAACTGGAGTCTTAATCGGAATACCGCTACTGTTACATTACCAGCGCTACCAAAGCTATCCCCACAATCGCCGCTTTCATTTTTCTAGTTTACTGTAAGCCGCTTTCGAATAAACGCGATATTCCCGTCACATTGTGCATTTTATATTTTCATTCACACTTTCGTTGCTGTGGTTTCAACAGTCGTCAACTTTCATATGGCTCGACTTTCCTCCAGCTTGTAAACGATATCGTGTTTTATTTGATTTTTGTTATTATTGTCGCTATTATTATTATTGTTATGATCATCATTATTTTGATTATTATTATTACTGTTATTATTATTATTATTATTATTATTATTATTATTATCATTATCATCATTATTATTATTATCATTATCATTATCATTATTATTATTATTTTAATGATGATGATGATAATGAAATGATAATGATAATGATAATCATGATGATGGTGATGACGATGACGATGATGGTTGTTGTTGTTCTTGATAATATTATTATTGTTACTACGATCATTATCAATGTTATTATTATTATTCCCATTTTCTCTGGTGCTTGTTTATCGGACCGAAAAACTCCCTTGGTCCCGTAATTTCCCTGTTGGTCCTTAGGGAACTCAGGGCTGCGGCCTCTCTCTTGTGTTCTCTCCTTCCTCTTCTTCTTCTTCTTCCATATGCTTCTCCGTTTTCTCTGTCTCCCGTTTCTCTTCCTTTTGTTCTCTTGCTTGTTCTGTATGTTATTCTCACTCATTGTCTTTCTCTCTCATTTTCGCTCTGTCTTATTCTCTCTCTCTCTCTCTCTCTCTCTCTCTCTCTCTCTCTCTCTCTCTCTCTCTCTCTCTCTCTCTCTCTCTCTCTCTCTCTCTCTTTCTCGCTCTTTCCTCTCTCCCTCCCTCCCTCCCTCCCTCCCTCCCTCCCTTCGCCCCCCCCTCTCTCCTCTCTCTCTCTTCTCCATCTCCCTCTCCCTCTCCCTCTCCTTCTCCTTCTCCCTCCCCCCTTCCCCCTTCCCCATCTTATTTTCCTCTTGTTTTAGCAACTTTATATTAGTTATGATTAGACGCCAAGCAAGACTTCGGCGAAGGGAATTCCAGGCTTTCGTGGCTCTTACTATTATTACTATTATTACTATTATTATTATTATTGTTATCATCATTATTATTATAGATAGAAATGTTATTTTTGTTGTTCTTCCCTTCTTATTTATCTATTATTATTATTATTATTATTATTATTATTATTATTATTTTGTTATTACTATATATATTATTATTACTATTACTATTGTCATTATTATCATCTTTTCGTTATCTTTATTATTTTTTTTATTACCTTGATTATCACTGACATTATTACTGTTATTTATATTATTATTGCTATTATTATTACGATAGCCATTGTTCTACAGCCAATAGCTCGTAATTATAGGCACAAAGACCGCCCGTCAGCCCATGGGGAGTAGGCCATGGGGGGGGGAGGGTAGGGGCGTGACCAGCCGTCACAGTAGGGAGGCAGAGGGGACATAAGGGGAGAGGGGAGAAGAGAGAAGGGAGAATGAGACAGAGAGAGAGGGGAGAGGGGAGAAGGCAGAACAGGGGGAGGGGGGGGGGGCATGAGAGAGGGATGGGCATGGGCATAGGGTCCGGGGGAGGGGTGAAGGGGAGATAGGTTTATCGTGTGGGGGGAGGGGGGGCAGAGGCGGACAGATGAAGAGGAAATGTGTGTGCGTGTGTGTGTGTGTGTGTGTGTGTGTGTGTGTGTGTGTGTGTGTGTGTGTGTGTGTGTGTGTGTGTGTTGGGGGGAGGAAGCGTCTGTAATAAAGATTTTCGTTATTGCCAGGTGGGTGGGGGGAAGGGGGGGAGGAAAGGAAAGGGAAGGAGGGAGGATGAGAGAAGAAAGGAGAAGGTGAGGAGGAGAAGGAGAGAAGGGGGGAGGGTGGAAGTGGGGAGGGAGAGTGTGGGTGGAAGAGCAAGGGAAGAAAGAAGGGGGGGGGGGGTGCGGAATGGCCGTTCGATAGTATACTGAAAGCATGAAAGCAAGAAAAGATGGCCAAGTTGCTGTTTTTTTTTTTCTTTTTTTTCATCTTTCCCTTTTTCGTTTTCTTAAATGGTTTACTTATTTTTTGTAATTATGTTTCTCTCTTTCTCTCGTTCTTTATTCCATTCCCTTACCGCTATGTCCTTCATTCCCATATTATCTTCTCTTTCCCTTCCCCTCTTTTCCTTCCATTCCCCCTTCCTCCCTCCCTCCTTTCCTTCCCTTCCCTTCCCTTCCCTTCCCTTCCCTTCCCTTCCCTTCCCTTCCCTTCATTCCCTTCCTCCCTTCTTTTCTACCTTCCTTTCTTCCTCCCTCTCGCATCTCTTTTTCTCCCCCCCCTTTATTTCTCTTTACCTTCGTTGCCGCATCTGCTTCCTGGCGGCGAATTCACGGCGAGCTAACGTGGCACTGAGGGGGAGTTATGGCATGGCACCCGAGAGGGAGATGGAGAGGGAGAGGGAGAGGTAGAGGGAGAGATAGAGGGAGAGCGAGAGCGAGAGGGAGAAGTAGAGAGAGAGAGAGGGAGAAGTAGAGAGAGAGAGAGAGCGAGAGAGAGAGAGAGAGAGAGAGAGAGAGAGAGAGAGAGAGAGAGAGAGAGAGAGAGAGAGAGAGAGAGAGAGAGAGAGAGAGAGACAGAGACAGAAACCGAGACCGACAGACAGACAGACAGACAGACAGACAGAGACTGAGAATAGAAGGAACAAAGATTAGAATGAAGAAAAAGCAGAAAGAAAATGAACAAGAACGGAAAATGAACTTCGGAGAGGAGAAAGAATTTTGGTAATGATAATAATGATGATAGTGATGATGATTATGATACGTATAAGAACATGGATAGCTAATAATGATAATGATAAGAATAACATGAAGAATAACTGTAATAATACAAATAGCAAGAAGAAAATGAAGAAATAAGATAAGAACGCGTTAATAATGATTATAATAGTAAAAACAGTGATAATAATAATAATAATGATAACGGGAATAATGATAAAGATGAGAATGGTAATAATAATAATAATAATAATAATAATGATGATGATAAGGATTAGGATAATAATAATAATAATAATAATAATAATAATAATAATAATAATAATAATAATAATATCAATAATGATAACACAAACAAGCATAAGAATCGAGACCAACATAAAACCTCAAGAATTCGAACAAGAACAAGAACAAGAATTTAAAAAAAAGAGAAAAAAAAAACGCGAATACCCTCTTGCGTTCCAACGGCGCCGCCATGAATCAGTAAGGACGACCCACCGACACCCACGCGGCGTCTGTGCCTTCCTCCCACTGAGCTTTAGTACTGATATTATTCATATTTATAACCCCGGAATCGATGTAGACGATCAGGTGCGAGTCGCTATTCGCCCGGAAGTCGCCTCCAGCTGGTGGCTCTATAGACGGGGGGGGGGGGGGGGGGGGGGGGGAGGTAAGGAGGTGGTAGAAGGGGGGGGGTAGGAGGGGGTGGAGGACCCAAAAAGGGACCAGGGGAGGGGGGGGTTGGAGACGAAGCGGAGGTGGTGGGAAGGGGGTAGGAAGGGAGTAGGTGGTAGTAAAGTACCAGGGAAGGCGTTGGGAGGGATGAGGGATAAGGGAAAGGGGTGTTGGGGGGAGGGAAGAGGGAAGAAGAAGAAGGAGAAGGGGGAAGAAGAAGAGGAAAGGGAAGGGGAGAGCTATGCTATGATGGTTCCAGTGGGTGGGCGGACGAGAGATTAGTTGTGTTTGACAGAGTTAGCGTTTTTGACAGGGTGTCGGGGGGGGGGGGTCGCTAATCTTAGGGTGTTTATGTTAAGCAAAAAGGTAAATTAGGAAGGTACGAAGAGAGAGTGAGAGAGAAAGAAAGACAGACAGAGAGAGAGAGATATAAAGAAAGAAAGAAAGAAAGAAGAGTGAGGGAAACGGAAAGACAACTAGAGGGGAGAGAGGGAGGAAGGTAGAGAGAGAGAGAGAGAGAGAGAGAGAGAGAGAGAGAGAGAGAGAGAGAGAGAGAGAGAGAGAGAGAGCAGGAAAAGGAAGAGGAGATGGAGGAGGAGGAAGAGGTGGAGAAGAAAATTGCAGGTTGTGAGCATCCAAGAATAGCCTCTATCGAACTGATTGTTATAGTTTGAGGGATGAGGCAGCTATATTGACGTTATTATGCAGTATTCATGAGTGTTCTTACTCCTGCACGTTTACTCGGCTGACATTTTAAAGGATCCTAGAGATGGTTTATGGAAGAAAGACAAGAAATGAAGAGAGAGACGAGAAAAAAAACGATTTTTTTTTTAATTTTTTTTTTCTCGTG